TTAAATTAAAGAGAGACAAAGTGGGCCAAATGGGGACATAATTTTTATCAAATTCTTTTGAAAATCTGAAATCTATACAAAAACAGGGGCTTTGTTTGGATCTACCTATGGGTGTCATCTTAATTTCGAACTTCTTTAGTGAGATTTGACCAAGTGTGCACATATTCGGATCTATTTATGGATAGATCTTACTTTGTAAGAGTTGACCAAGAATTAAGAATCCCTCAAGGCAAGTCAATAGAAACATATTGTCAACTAAAAAGAATAACAAATTCTCATAAAAGCCCTTCTTAACACGTCTTTTTGTGCTGGAATGTATGAATGTCTCCTCTCACATCTTGAAGAGATATAGAATATGAAAACATTATCCCTCGTTTGGTAAGGTGGATTGTAAAGTATGTCTTATATTGCTCGATGCCTAGACAAGCTCTTCGAGACAACCAAGGCAGGAATTATACAGTCCCTTATGGAAACATGGCATTTATTGTCGATATAGGTACCTTGAAATCATTGCTCGTAAGTACAGTGAAAAATTACCTGTAAGATATATGATATTTCTCGTCAACATGCTCTGACTTGCATAATTCCCCAACAATTTAAATATCAAGCATAAAAATAAAAAGAGTGGCCCAAAATTAACAGTGATACTCAATGACCATGGGAGACCAAAGACTCCGATTTACGAAGTTAGCTTTCCAGAAGATAGTAGTAGAAGCAACTGTTGGAAAAATTGAGTTAGTGGGTGACTTTGACGCGAATTTTAAGCGGGACCCGTTTGACTATTTTAGAAGATGAAAATTGATTTGTATTCTCTTCCGTGAGTACATCGAAATTAGGGACCCGTTTGGCTATTTTGGAATATGAAAGTCGATTTGTGTTCTCCTCTGTGAGTACATCGAAATCATATATTTACGTGTCAAAAATGACACTCGGGTGAATGAGAAATTGAAATTCAAAATATGCTGTATGAAAGGAGTTTATGTTGGTGGGAAAACTAAAAATTAAGTTTGTCCCACACAGAAAGTGAATGAAAACTAAAACCACTTTATAAAGAATTGCACTTTAAAATGGTGTAATCATGTATAGCATAGAGGCTCTCTCCAAGCACGCGCGCAGGGGGGTGCAAATCACGGACTGAAATAGGCATCGGACCTTGAACTTGTGTGGGTGCACGACCTGCGTACACGAATGTCGAATCGGATTGACAAAAAATTGGCCCCTTAGAAGCGTCTACGTTCTACATTTTATTTTATTTTTCGGTCGACTTTTCATTTTCTGAAACAGTTGAAACTCCTGTTGTAATTGCCATGAAGTAAGTGGGCAAGTTACAAGATCCAAAGTCTATATATACCTCTGTTTTTCCCAGTTTTCAGTACACGAATTCATCTGCATAAAGTTTAAGTGTTGTCTCTATTTTTGTTTCTGTTTGGTGATATTACTCGGGCTCTAACTCAATTCGCCGGAGTAAAATCTGTGATCCGTTCCACTGTTGTATTCTGGGAAGCAGATGCTCAAATTACACCTCGGGCACGTACGGTGAGGGGGCGAATATGTTTTAAGGAAACTATGTGTAACACAGGCCTGGGGTTAAAAGTTCTTAGTTTGTTTCTTCTTGTTATTCGTATTGTATATTAGTATTTTGCAGTTCTCGTTTAATTATTTGCTGAAATTTATAAATCGTTTATGAATCTGTTATATAAATTAAACATGTTACAATCAAATTTGTATGCAAAATGATATGAGGAAATATAATGTTTAAGCTTACTGCAAATACTGTATCTATTCTGCATATTCGGTACTCAATCCGATATTCTGTTTCGTGAAGTTTTGAACCAATTATCCAACAGCAACTACTTCTAATATCTGAACCGAATATGTACACAAATGGATGATTCCAGCGGCTGCATGACTATCGAGCTTGAGTCACTAACAAGTAACAACTCCACACTGACCAAGTTCGTATAAACATACTGTTTGAAGTAACTAAAAAGATAAAAAAAAAACCACTGCGTTTATTTTCACTTGTAATGTACACATCCTGCAAGAAAATTTCTACTTTCAACCATGCATACGAATCAAGAACTATGTTCAAATTTCCAGAATACAAGCAAAAACACCAAGATGAAAAGCACATGATAAAACAGGAAATATAGCAAAGTATGGATTATATTTAGTTAAAAACACTTCCAAAGTAAATTCTTGATCTTATGGTATCATATCAATCCCTGGTAGAGTGAACTGAGTCAGTCAAGGTGCCCATCCATGCTGGTGGCAACATCCCAGTTTGCTCATTCACAGTCTTAAACAATGGTGGCAACATTTTGTAAACACCACTTATTTCTTTCATTGCATTATTACCACCTCCTGCACCATCGGCTGCCTCTCCGCCTCCATTTGTCCAAATGCTGATTTTGGGCTGTAGTCCACGCACAGCCTCTGCATTGATTTTGGCTATCTCTTGAAACATTCCACCACTGATCATCAGATAGTCCCTCAGGGCTGCATAATTGCCTCCCAACGCGTCAAGCAGGGTGCGAATATAAATTCCTTGAGCTTCTGCTACGGCTACAAGTCCTTCTGCTTCCTTCTTCTTTGCATACAATTCTCCATCTACGATTTGCTGACGACCATAAAAACTAGCCTCGGCTGCTGCTTTTTGTGCTTGTGCTTCTTTCTCCTTTTCATATAGATATGCTTCTGCAGCTTTCTGTTTCTTGTAGAGCTCCCAATTTGCTTCTTGTACCTTCGGTTTCACGAGAATATCAGATTAGGAAGGTAGATGGTAACATAATTGTTTCATAATTCATCTAACTTCCTTAATTTCTTTGTTAATCAAGGGAAAAATATCTAGTAGGCTTTATGATAATCATACCATCTGGATCTAGGTTGATTCACGATAAGGACTTTACCTTGCTTCTTGCTTCTGATTAACTCAGTTAGTACTCAATTAAAGTAACATAAATATTCGTGGAAGTTTGTTATATATCTTCAGCAAAATGGTCTGATAAAATCTCTATTTACCCAAAATTGTCCCTTCAAAGTAATTACTTACACATATATATGATCAAATTTTAAGTCTACAGTAGTAACTGTTTATCAGCTTTGATGGGTGTCAAAAGAGGACATAAAAAGCTAGAAAGGCAAAGAAATTGATTCTCAGACAAGATTGTGCAACAAGTATCTATACCTTGGTTTCGTATTCAACACTAGCTTTGCTCAAAAACTCAGCCTTGAGCTTCTCTGTCCGTGTCAATGCATTCATACTCTCGACCTCCCTCTGCAGCTCAGCTTCCCTAAGTGCCACTGCTTTTGAAGCCTCCACCTCGGCCACCTGTGACTCCTTAGCCCATCCGGCCTTCTTCTTAGCCAGTTCTGCATTTGCCTCCGCCACCTCAGCCTCCTTTTGATTCTCATAAACCTTCACCTCGGTCCTCACCTTTATTTCCTCTTTCGTGCCTTCTCCCTGCCTTTGTGTTGATATGATCTTAGTTTCTGCATCAATTTTTGCAGCGTTTTGAAGAGTTTGCCCTTCTCGAAGCTTTGAACCAACCTCTCCCTTCATTTTGGCTTCAGAAACATCAACTCTTGCCTGGTTTGCTGCTTCCATCTGAGTCTTTTGACCCAAGTAAGAGAAGTACTCGTGACCGGGCACATCCACAAGCTGTTTGACGTTGGCATTATAGATTAACAACCCAAACTGGTTAAGTTCAAGTTGTACTTTCTCAAAAACTTCTTGTTTAAACTCTTTAGTCCCTCGAAAAACCTCTTCCATAGTCATTGAGGCTGCTAGGACACGAGTCTCCCCCTCGATGATCCCTTGTACAAGTTCTTTAACATGGTTTGAGAGCTTGTCATGAGGCGAGATAAGCTTGGCATACTTTAGGAGGCTGGCTTCATCATCAATACGAGGCCCTATAGTGAAGACTGCTGGGAGGATGAATGGTAGCTTCTCTGCACTCATAGCTTGCACTTCAAAGGTGTAGTTAACCGGGGAGACATCAAAGATTGCACACGACTGACCGGGAAGAACCCATGCTTTTTTTGCAATCTTAATATCACTGATGCCTACTCCGGTAATTACTAGGTACTCCGATGCACTTGCAACTTTATACATGGTTGCCTATGGGTGGAAGTGTGGCCAAATGGTGTTGAGGAAGCTTTTAAAAGTTGAATTTAAGTACAACATTGTGTAGATAGAAGGGGTATATATATCTAAAGACAGTGTACAAAGGAGAATAATTCTAGAATATAATATTTGCGTGGAATTTACAACAAACTTTCGCTGCTTAATAGCTAATACTATGATAATTAGGCCTTAATACGTTCAAATTAGTGGTAGCAAAGATCGACAGCTGGTTAAATAATTGACAAAATCAACGCAAACATTAATATAGAATTTAATGAGTTAAAGAAAATGGTTTCCTCAAGGGTCAGATGATCCAAATGGAGCCTTCAAAGTCAATGCCAGTGAATCGATAAGATTTATAAAGATGATACAAATGGAGCCTTAACCTTTTAAGTTAATGCCAGTGAACGATAAGACTTGTGTTCCCAACTCGTTTTTCTGCAAGTCTGATATGTACGAAAGAGAAGAAACCATGTTTAAAAGTTCCAACTAGGTTTACGTATTTGAATTAACTCCTTAACACGCTCCATCGCTTGTAGGTCGCATTTATGTTTGTAAAAAAGGCTGACACATACACAATTTTTAACAATGAACGACGAAAAGACTTGAATTCAAGACCTTTATACATCTCGATATCATATTGAATCACCTCATCTAAAAGTTTAAATTGTTAAAAAAAGAGAACGTATCCATTTGCGTACATCTTAGAGAATACATCTCCTCACACGCAAGTCAAATTCATTTTATCTTCCTAGGTAAGACAAATGACAACAATATTAATCGTTTCATCTAAAAGCTCAAGTTAAACAAAAAACACATTCCCTTGAATTTAATCTTCAACTTCATCGAGGTAAAAGTGAAATTCTGTTTATTGTCGCATTTAAAATTGATTAAATTTTTTAGATTACAAATCCAGAACCCACTTCATGCCATGTATGTCAAGATTCGCTACAAATTGCAGAGTTGACAAGGCCAAAAAAGGAACAACTTACAACTGTTTGTTCCTGCCAAATATGAATAAGCATATTTATTTAATGGAATATTTGCCTGGTCTAAACCCCATATTTGGCTATTAAAAAATAGCAGCAAGACTTCATTAAGGATGTTTCAAAGAAATTCATGTTCTTCATACCATTGAATAGGCAATTGAGATTTCTTGGCAGTAAACCCATTTTTTTAAGACATCATTCTTCATTAATTTACAGGTTACGTCGTCAAAATTTGAAGTCAATGACAACAAAGGTCATCGCCATCAATGGTTGGTTCTTAGGTAATTTCTTTATATTTATCCTATCTTGCTGAAAGAGCACATCATCCACCAGCACCGTAGCATTTATTTCTATATAGTACTAGACAAAATCAAACAAATTCTTTTTCCTATAATACTGTCGTGCATTATCAAATTCACCCTACAAAACATGTCATCAATTCACAAGTCCAAGCGTACCAAAACTTGCTTTAGGTAGCTACACAATTGTTCCAAATTCATTTGGCCGTCCAGCATCAATTTCGTTTCTAAGCAGATTGCACCATTGCTGATTTCACATTTTGGCTTAGCTGCCAAAACCAATGGAAAGAAATGTATTTCCTGTAGTTGACACCCAACCAATCAACAATTGAACATTTAAAAGAGTTGATTCAACTATTATGAAACTACAAATAAGAAATTATTGGAGTCGGTGGCAAAAGATAGAGATCCCAAACTATTAAAATTGCTCAAGAAAATTGAGAAATTCCAAAACTGGGTAATAGAGAATATAATCTAGAATTTGGTAAAATACAAAAGATATCAATTTCTCGCGGCAAGCAATATCACCATATTTTCAACAAGAAACAGTCTCAGACACTTTTGAACCAAGAAATTCAGAACCCTAGTCTCACATTCCTGTAAATGCCTTCTTCCCAAGACCAGAAGAACCAGCTGGGATCACCTTCAAAACATTGAACCTCACAGTTTTTGACAATGGCCTGCAAAGGCAAAAGTATCATAAAATTGAATTTTGAAGCCCATTTAAAAGATATTCGAATAAAGCAGAGCTTTGATCCCAACCTGCACTGGCCAATTATGACATAATCTCCTTCTCTCACACGGAAGCATGGAGATATGTGTGCTGGAATGTTTGAATGCCTCTTTTCATATCTGGAAGACAAACATTAATACAAATGAAAAACGTAAGAAAAACATACTAAAAGTGATTAGGTCACACCTCTGGTACTTCTTGACCCAATGCAGGTAGTTGCGACGAACAATGATTGTTCTCATCATCTTGGCACTGTGGCACGTCCCAGCAATAATACGGCCCCTGATGGAAACATCACCAGTAAACGGACATTTCTTGTCGATATAGGTACCTAGAAAGAAGTGTTTATAAGTAAAGTGAAAAAACTGCAGTGAAACCCAAACATTAGAATATAGAACATTTCTCATAAGATGATATTTTTTATCAACATACTCCAATAGAGTGTTACCAAATGTTTCAAAATTCAAATACCAAGCATTAAGATAAAAAGGCATGCCCCAAACTAAAACCCCAGGAAAAGAAAATTTTAAATAGATAAAGATAATTCAAATTTATTAAGTGCAGTTTCCAAGGATATAGATTGGTAAGTGGTACACTTAACTACATCAGCTAAAATTTGTACCATGTACAGAAAATGGATAACACTGTCGTACAAGGTACTATTTCATCTTACATTTACACATGGGAACATAGAGATGGAATCCCTAGTTGCAACAATTACATCCTCGGGACTTATTTTTCCTCAAAGCACATGAGCAAAAAATGCAAAAACATTCCAGTAAATATGCAGCCTGAAAATTTGGATGAACTTCTCTAAAGAGTCCTTTTGTTCAATGGACAAAGTGAGAAAAAGCAAACTTCAGCCATTTACAGTGGACATTCTTCCTTATCTGCTTATGTGAATAGTCAGTTGAATCAAAAACCTGGCAAGTTAACTAAGCAACATCGCAAACAGAACATAGAACCACATCAATGGCAACTTGCCAATTGAGCAATCTGTTAAGGTCACTCAAGTACTTAGCAAGTTGACTAGCCAAGTGTCAAGCTGAACCGAGGACACAACACCATGCCAGAACTGCATTTCTGTTTAATGCATGCATCAAAAGCTTCGGGCTAGGATGATTCTTGACTAACCTTATTCCCCAAGAGTCTTCCTTTAACAGACTGTTGCAAAATTAAAACCTTCCGAAAAACACTCTTCAAAAATTTGCAAATCAGTTGAACTCTTTCCTTAGACATGCAAACATTTGCTAATAAAAAACACCACTCTTTTGACCAATAGCCAGCATTTGCCCAACTTAAACAATTCAAAAAAAAACCATCTTTATCAAGGCAGTTTGTGTTTTTTATTAGCAAGGTGTGCCCATCTTTATCAAGGCAGTTTGTGTTTCTGACATGCATTTCAATCATGATTTAGGTCTAGAAAAGACTTAAAGAAGTTGTGAAATGGCTGGATTCTTTTCATTAGATGGAGGAGGAGGGCAAGGAATTAACAGCAAACTGAACCAATAAACCAGCAGGCCACAATCCACTGCCACATGGGTCTTTTAGAATATTAGAGAAGGTAGGGCAATTCTAAATTAATTCGGTAAGCAAGGCCCTTTTCTCTTCTCGTTTCAAGACATTGATCCTCAAACAAATTTCCTCAGGGTAAATAATTTATCCTACCAATTGCTCAAGAATTAAAAATTATGCAATTAATTTAAATAGATTCACCCAGGATTGATAAGTGGAAACAAATCCAGATAGTCCCAATATACTTAGCTATGAAATACAAAATAAAAAGTGATTTTGCATAATTCTACCAGTATCTTAACGCAACATTATTCCAACATAGATTTAATTAAATAACCCAAATGATTTGAAAAGATTCAATCTTTTGAAACAAGCATTTAATTCCAATATCTTAATATACATTATTCCGACATATATGGATTTTTTTTTCTAACAAAGGTTCTAAAATCAGAGAGCTATATCAATTAAACAAATCCATTTCAAACAAAAAATAAATCTATGTACAAATAACCATATACACACCTTCAATAGCCTCACGTGGAGTCTTGAACCCGAGCCCGACGCTCTTCCAGTATCGGTTTCCTCCCTTTCCTGGCCTCTTTCCCTTCCCCGTCTTCTTCGAGCTGCAAAATACCCAGTTTCACCCTCATAACATACACATCCATGCATTCTATAATTGTATTTTTTTGCATATGCCCACAAATACTCTCTTACCAAAGGAAGACCTTGGGCTGCTTCAGAAACGCCTTCTCAGTCTGCAAAACAATTGCAAATATCAGCTTCATTCAAATCATCACTACTTGCAGCATGCATAAAAAGCATATATGTATATAGGAGAGGGGAATGTAGATACTCACCTGTTCCGCCATGGTTGAGTTGTAAAGAGTTTGTAGGTGAAAACGCTAGGGTTAGAAATCTCGGCAGCAAGAAACCCTAAAGTGCAGCAGCGGACCGGACAGAAAGAACTAAGAGGGCCCAAATAAGATTTATATACATATATATAACATTGAACCCTAATTTCGATGCAGTATAAACCGGATTGGCCCATTGTTGCGGATCCAGACTCAGCCCAAACCTGTAAAATAGCTAATCGACAGCCCACCAATATGTGGAGGCCCATGAAGGAAAAAAAATGACTTGAGGCACCAATAATAAGGCGTTCTGACGTTGTGGAAATTACATCAAACCAAATCTTTAGTTTGGCGTTTTAAAAAATCAGGTTTTCACATTTTTTTTTTCATTTCTCAGGTTTTTATCATTTTAATTAAACAATTAACCTTTTAATTAAATGACGTACTTATCCCGTTAATTGAGGATTTCAAATTTGTTAAAACTCAACTTCCATTTCTATTCAACCCCTATTCCAGCCCTATCTTCGTTGTTGAACAATCCAGTGACTTTTCAGTCCAATTCAGACGTTCGGTCTCCGAAATTCTTCGTTACTAAACGGTAGCGTTCTTGAGCCAATTCTTTGGGATTTAGCAGCAAGTCTTTTAATAGTATTGTCAATATCAGCAATTGTCGTAGTATCAATGGCAGTAAGAGTAAAATTGTGTGTGAAGCAATTTCTGTGCAGCCACAAACTGCGATTGAAGGCCTTAACATTGCAGAAGATGTTACCCATGTGGGATTTTCGGGTTTTCATTTTTCAAACTTGAAGTGCGGTTCAATAGATTTAAGTTTTTCTATTCTTTTCGTTTTCATTTTAGCTTTCTTTTAGTTTGAATTTAAGTTTAACTTAGTGCGGCCTTTTATTTTTATTTTTTTGGTTCTAGTATTTTAGTAAGAAAAGCCGAGGACGTTGCTTGTAGTGGTGTTAATATACTCAGATGACTTCATAATCCTAGTTAATTTAGAGGAAATGAATTAATTTCTGGGCATTGTTTAGTGAAAAAATCATTTGTCAGATAATTTGAATGATAAAAAAATTCCAGGATAAATTAGAGTCCTCAATACGAATCAAAAGGAGTTATTAGTTGAAAGGTAAATCCAAGTTTAATGCTGCATTATTTTATTGCCATTTTTCCTGGGATAGAATGAATAGGAAAAAAGAAAATTTGTACTTGTGTTGAAGAGGGGTGGAATCTTTGGAGAACTTCATTGAGGTCGATTTATTGCTTACATATTTTACAGAAATGTATTTACATTGATGCTTATCGAATGTCAAAATTATTCTTGAAGCCTTGTGGACATAAACTCCTGTTGTAGTTTTGAGTGGAGTGGTAAATTTGTATTTTGTTGCTATGTATTTCATTTGTGACCTGTTAGTTGATTAAGAAGTAGTATTGAAGTTTGATGATTTTTATGGTGGAAGTGCAGTTTGGAAGTGAATGTCATAGAGAGAGTAATGAAACTGTGACTTATCTGACACATGTCATGGAGTTTATACCGCATCTGTGACCTAATTTCGTAACATCTTATATGCTTATGCACGTATGTGACCTGAGAATATTATGTGATCTATACTTGTGACCTCTGTTAATTTGCATCTGTGACTTGACATAAACTCCTTTGCTGCAGCTTTGGAAATTCATGCTGAGTATTTGTTACATGACGATAAGGATTCAATGCCAAGCAAATTTGACGCGGGAAGAACAAGGTTGGACATAGCAACACGCCTGTTTAAACATTAGGGCATATACAAGCCTATAAAGGTGGGGAAGCAAAAAAAAAGGGGGGGATGAGATTCTCATTGAGTGATGACCATGTTTTTTTTTGTTTTTAGTTTAAAACAATGAACAAACTCTGTAAAGTTTCTGATTGTCTGCTTTTATCTATTTCTTTTAGCAGTAGTTGATTGAACAATGGATAATTTCTGGTGTCATTGTCTGTTTAGATTTGCGGTAGTTTTTGTGACTGTGACAAATGTACATCGAATTTTCGATAATAATTGACCCCATTTTCATTGTGAGCAGGAATGTGTTTAATTTACATGTTATTTGTAGCTGTGTAAATTGCAATCTGATGGTCACATATAATTCCATATATTACACATTGCAATCTGATGGTCACGGTGAAAATTGCTTTGGTCACACAGGTATATGATGGTCTCAGTTAGAATATTTATACAGGGTCACGTGTGATAATATGATTTGAGTATGTAGGTCACGGGAATACTAGCAGTTACATAATGCTACATGAAGTCACAGAGAACACTATATGGATTTCTACAGG